CATTGTTCACATAGTTAGTAATCATAGCATCTACAAGAATATAACATGAATTATTAATTTATTTGAGTATATTTAACAAAATCACTAAGGTATACCAAGGTATACCAACCCCCTATGAAGCTCCCAGACTCTCCTCTTCCACCAATAATTAACAAACTTCCTTCTTTTTCTATTATCATTTTGCCCAGATACAATTGCTGCCCGTCTTCGCGATTATCAATACTTTGGCGATAAACTCGCGGTTTGAATACTTTAGGCTTTGGTAGTTCTCCAGTTCCATTACTTGTTTTATATGTTAAGCTTTGCTCTTGAATAGCCATCAATGTAGATCTATCTCGAGGCCAATCTATAAGATATTTTGCATATTTTAGTTAATATCAATTCACTGCTATTGTATCTTAAGTACAAGGATTACGTACCGGCGTTTCGAAGAGTGCCATCTTGATTATTATATAGGATACTTTTAAATTGTCTGTGTGCTGCTTTTTTATTTGCAAGCACGACAGTCCATTTGATTTCCACTTTTCCATTAAATTTGCTAAGGTCGATCTCGCCCATGTTTACATCATCCTTATAACCATAAATTCTAAACCTTGCGGCTTGTGGCCTAATTTTACCATTTACTTTAAACTGGAAATCAGGATCACCCCCTATATTGTTAGACATGACAATAAGATTAATTATTTTCAGACGCATAAGTACATTTTTAATTTAAACATAAGGCAAGACCGACTAATTAATTCGGTGGTTTACATTGCATCCTTTTTCAAAATAGTGAAGAAAAAGAGGGGCAAATTATATAGTAAATTTTAATGAAATTTTTTCCATTGGGAAATATCGATCTTTTATTCGTTTTCTTTTAGGAATTTTTCGAAGCCTTTACAATTCCTACTTCTTAATTTCGCCCGGCCTTTTTTTTTTTTTACTAAGAGAGTGATGAGGAAATGAAAAAGGGGGAGGGTAATGTAAACCACCGAACCAAATTGGTCTGGCCTAATTATCAAGTAATTCCAACACACACACTAACGGTTTGTCAAAACTTACTTCCAACATACACTCCAGGAATCTCGGAACCAACATAATAAAGTTCCTCCTCCTCATTTTCCTTATTTATCTTAAATGCATTACCAACACGTGCAATGTTAATAGCTGGGAATATTGCAAAGCTATCGTAAGGAATTGTCATTATGAAGTGTGAGGTTTGAAAAAGCGTAATGGTGGAAATTGGTGAGAATATATAGTGGAATGTACATTATTAGTGTAATAAATTCAGTTGTGAGTACTGTAATGCAATTTATCCTTAAAAATCAAGAGATTAGATTGATATAATATTCGATTAAACTCAAGATTGATATAATATTCGATTAAACTCATGAGCTTATATTTGAGCATATGTCTATACATAATTTTAAAAGTTCAAAACAAAGTATTTTTGAAATAACTGTCTACACATTATTTTGAGTACTGTAACTATTATAACCGATAATTTTGTTTTATGATTTTCACTTCCATATTATCTAGTCTTTAAGATGTTATTGAAAAGCATTGCAAGAACATTATATATTTATTATTAACTTGGAAGCGAATTTCAATTCTTATCTACCATCTGTTTGTCGCGACTAATCTTGACATGGAATTACCATATCATTATGGTACAAAATTATAATTAATTCCAAAATGGAATTGATTAATTTATACTTATCTAGATGTATGTACTTATGCGACACCATCTTATTTGCAGCTTGATTTGATCTAATACTGGTTTAAATCTAGTAGTTTGGTCTGCACAACCTAGCAGGGTTACTCCAGCTTACTATCTGTTGACCTTCCCGTTACAGTATTGTCAGCTTGGATTACCTTCCTTGTTTGTATTGTCATAGTCACGTCAATCTCAACTTTAGTAGTATTGTTATGTAATTTAGAATATTCTTGTGGTAATCGCGTAAATGCTACTATCTCCGCGTACACACTACTAATGCTGTAATGAAGCATAGACGCGATATCTGTAACGTATGCGTTGAGATTTTAACATAGATGTTATAATCTTAGCGTTAACGCCATGGTAAATTAAAGTGTATATAAGGGGATTCATTTTCCCTTATCCAATGTGGGCTTTCTGAACTAAAATAAAGAATACATAAATATACATTCTTTTCTATAATAAATGCCTAATAACCATGAAATACGAGTTTCCTCTTTATTATCAGGTTCCCGCATGTCAACCATCAGAGCTCTCCCATATGATATTAACAGTATATGCGCGTTGTTTAGAGTACGCTCATAGGCGTTATTTTGAAATTAATATAAAGGTTTAAGCATTTTACATAAATAGTAAAAAAAGAGTTCCAGAACGAAGTTTGTTACTAAGTAAATTGCTTTTAGACTTTAACAAAGGTTGTTATTTAGATCGAAAATGGCCAGTATACCTCCGCGATGGTACTTAAAATTTAAGGGGAACACTTCAATAACAATGAATCCAGTGATATCACATTACGTAAAATCATGCAATTATGCCATTTGTTTACTAGCACTAACAAATCAGCCTAAACTATATTATCACCTAAACTCTAACTTGGGCCGAGTGTTTTACGCATCATGAGAAGTCATAATCACGAAGATATCACTGGGTTAACTGATCTTGAAACTTTTCCGGATATTTATTCCAATTTTTGTCCCGATCTTGCTCGCATTTTACGTTCGTTGATTTTCTATTCGGAATCTGAGAAATTAGGACGAATAGATTAGAACTCTAGATTACGTCACGAGTCTCTAGTTCTTTACACGATTCTTATGATCGGGGAGCTATCAGAGAAAAACACTTAATTGTAACATTTTGCTATCTAAAGTCTATTGTAAATTTTCATATACAAGCCCCGGTCTCTTACACTCCACCAATTTAAAATGCTTTAGAGACCCTGGGTCTAGTACACAATGAGAGGTTAATTGTAAAAAGAAAAAAATTTAAAGTGCATATATGCTTTATATTTTATAATAGGAGTCTAGCTAATTGAAGAAACCGTATTTGATTAATAAAGTTTCCGCGGTTCGCATCCAGGTATAATTCATGACGGATCTTCTATTTTGGAGATCTTGTATATGCACTTTTACGATACTTTATTCAAGGTAATACTTCTAGGTCTTTAAATACATTTTTCGATACTATCTAATTCGCTAATGCTATGT